CTAGCTATGTTATGTGCGTCACACCGTGGAAACAAAAGCTATGTTATGTGCGTCACACCGTGGAAACAAAAGCTATGTTATGTGCGTCACACCGTGGAAACAAAAGCTACTATGTTTATGTGCGTCACACCGTGGAAACAAAAGCTAGCTATGTTATGTGCGTCACACCGTGGAAACAAAAGCTATGTTATGTGCGTCACACCGTGGAAACAAAAGCTAGTTATGTTATGTGCGTCACACCGTGGAAACAAAAGCTAGCTATGTTATGTGCGTCACACCGTGGAAACAAAAGCTAGCTATGTTATGTGCGTCACACCGTGGAAACAAAAGCTAGCTATGTTATGTGCGTCACACCGTGGAAACAAAAGCTAGCTATGTTATGTGCGTCACACCGTGGAAACAAAAGCTATGTTATGTGCGTCACACCGTGGAAACAAAAGCTATGTTATGTGCGTCACACCGTGGAAACAAAAGCTAGCTATGTTATGTGCGTCACACCGTGGAAACAAAAGCTATGTTATGTGCGTCACACCGTGGAAACAAAAGCTATGTTATGTGCGTCACACCGTGGAAACAAAAGCTATGTTATGTGCGTCACACCGTGGAAACAAAAGCTATGTTATGTGCGTCACACCGTGGAAACAAAAGCTATGTTATGTGCGTCACACCGTGGAAACAAAAGCTAGCTATGCTAGTCCATATTCCATCACACAAGACGCGCTTCACTCCGCTGAAATCTGTCAGCTTAAGCTGGGAGACTTCGATAAGGAAATGAGGATTACGAGGGAATGTGAGGAGGAAGAGAGAAGGAATTGAGGGAAACAGAGAGAGAGAGAAAAAAAAAAGAGAGATAATGAGGTAGCTCATACTACAAATAATAGGCCCTGTACTCGAAATATTTTTTTCATCTCTTCACCCAATGATTATCAATACCGTGAAATTGGAAGATCCAGAGAAACGCATGTTCGTGCATATTGTCCTCTTCCCCCCTCTCTCTCTCCCCTCCCTCTCTCTCTCTCCCCTCCCCCTTTCTCTCCCTTCCTCCCTCTCTCTCTCCTCTCCCCCGCTCACCCTCTCCCCCACAGCACACATGCGGAGAAATGGTTTTCAGAAAATGTGCTGACTGGTGACCCCTGACCTCTGCTCCTGGACGACATAACAATAACTCAAAAGCCGTGGGTGAGCCGCCTCTACAGTTAGCTCATATATTGGTTGGTGGTAGTCGTTGACAGATGTTAGGTCATATATTGGTTGGTGGTAGTCGTTGACAGATGTTAGCTCATTTATTGACTGGTGGCAGTTTCTACCTGCACTTAACAGTGCATTTCCCGTCCACTTGAAAACTGAGAGTATTTCACTGTTGCTACAACAGTCAAATGGGTGACTCTCTAACATGGATAAAATGGTGAATATCTGACATAAATCTTTCTCGTGTACTCTCTGGGTTCCAGTTTTCTTGTCGCGTCAAAACTTTTTATCATCTTTATCTTATATTCCATTATTGCCGTTGTTGCATCTTATAATAAAGTACATTTTTATTGATAAAGTATAGTCTAACCTAACCTGTAAATAGTATGTGGAAAATCCATAAAATCTGTAAACATTGGTTGCAGTGTTGTGCATATAATCTATAAAGTACACATTGTCTAGTGTTATTCACTGCGTGTAGTCTTCCACTTGTAGTATAATGCGCTCCTTTACAACGTTTCGCCCACACAGTGAGCTTTATCAAGTTACAAACAGATGTACTGTACAAAGAGTACATGAGCTCAGAGGCGTCGTAAGGGGGGGCGGGGGCGCCGCCCCGGGTGACACCATAGAGCCTCTAAAGACTCTAACACTAATGACCAAAACTATGCTGCAGCAACGTAAGAGAAAAATTCTTTGTTTCTATATAGCCTATTATAGGATTACAAGTACAAAGAGGCCTGTATAGGGAAAACCATTGATTTTGATGATGTGATAGATTTTTTTGCAGGATTGAAGCAAGGAAATGAAATATCAGATTCTTTGAGATGTTACCTGTACTCAAGGTTAAATCGGAACTAGTGTTTTTCTTTTTCTTTTTTTTTGTCATTGTTGAATTTGAATAAATGTAGGATGTGTTGCCTGTATTTAAAATGATATTTGAGTTTATATTTCCTCAATATTACTACGATTATTTATTTTATCATTAATAAAGTTCGGTTTATGGCCTTTAAACGTTCTCATTGCTAAACATTAGTCACTGGTCATGCAGCAGTGATGTAACTGGAGTTTACTCCCCCCATCCCCCCGCCCTTGGATTTCATGGGGGTGACACCAAAGATGCCGCCCTGGGTGACACCAGCTCTAGCAACGCCTCTGCATGAGCTGTATCATGCAAAGTATTACAGTTTATTCGGCGTGTCACACTCCCACCTAGGCTGCCTTGCAACCAGCGAACCAGGTGCGAAGAGTTTAACAATCAATAGGGTACCCGTCGTTAAATCAGTACCTTGGTTCATTGACCAGTCACAGGCAAGCCCGCCAAAGCTGAAGCAACATGGTTCACTTGCAGTCAGTACTCGGCAGACTTACCTACCTACTGGTTGAGTACGGTGCACTCTCTCTGGCTTTTGCATTGCCATCTGTCACCATCGTGTACACTTATTGTTCCATCTGTACACTATGTACAGATGTAGTAGTAATAAGTGTATATAGTGGATGAAGATAAAATATACAATATAGTTTATCTGCTGAGTTTGTTGTGCTCCAAACCCACATTACGACCAGGTCACAGGCCATTCATTACTTAAATAAATAAATAACAGAAAGGCACAATACCGTGACGATGGGGATGCCCGGGTGTTGTGTATGTGTCTTAATTTCATCTTGTCGGTATTATATACAATTCTTGTACTACTACTACTACTACTACTACCTCCACCTCTTCCTGCCTATATATAGCCGTCCTGCTCCACCTCTGGTTAGTGACTGGTTATAAATGACCATAATTTTTAAAGGGGTGGACCGGTAAGCCAGCGGAAGGCCTCGGTCAGATGACCAAAAGCTCCAAAGGCGGGTCATCATCTGACTAAGACCCGCGTCAGGAAACATTTGTCCTGTTTCCTGACGAACCTTACCTAACCTAACCTCTGGTTAGTGTGACTTTGTCAATGGTCCAAGTCGGACCGAAACGTCGTCGTAAGCTTCTCTCTTTTATGTGCGAGTTATTTGTGTATCATTCATTACCTGTTCGCAATAAGCATATATACATCTACCTGTGCGAAGAATATTTGAGTATATATAGGATAATTGAGACTGACCTGCATGTCAGTCTCAGATTCCCTCCAGGTATATATATACCCTTTATAAAGCGCTTCTTAAATATCTTGAAGGCTGTTCTTCACTGATAACCCGAAGTGGAGTCTTCAAATTACCCTCTGGAGATGTTCCTATTTTCTCGAGTTTATTCGTGTTCGCAATACGACGAGTCATTTCTCGTGACTCTGTATATTACCATAATGTCTGACAACTCACGATTTGTCTCTGTAAACTGCATTCTCCTGGAATTAAATTATCAAATTATCCTCAATTAATTTGTCGAATTCTGCATGACCCATTTATATTGTTCTATACGACTCTGCTTCATCTGATACTGCTCGCATAAGTTCTGTCTTCTTGCTTCAGCAAGATTCTTGCAATAAATCTAATGATATTCCCGCTTATGTGGAAATAGACGTTTATGTACAGTTCGAGACATTTATAGGAGAAGCTTTGTCACGAGCGGCGACTTCAGTCCTATGAAGCCGCCGCTCGTGGCGAAACGTTTCCTTTAATAAATGTCCCGAACTGTACACAAGTGTCTTTTTCCACATCTTGTCGGTATTAACATACTATTTCTCATTCCTGCTTATGTTGACTACTGCATTTGTCTCTATACATTATCACATTAGTTTTCAGTTATTATCCATTCCTGTTGATTCCTCTCTGCTTCATTACTCGACCACTGATGATTCTCATTTAACTTTGATCATGATCCTAGCGGCGTGAATCTCGCATTTTGCGGTCCAGTCTCCTGTCCTAAATTTATTTTCTGTGGATCACTTTCATCTTCCTTAAATTTAAGGAAAACTTAGTTTGTTCTTAACTAATTACCAGCTACATCCCTGAACCTCGGTCCAACATCACTCTCCTAGACATTAGAGATGCTACTCGCTATATAATTATGTTCCTGAAAGCATTACATCTCCGTGATCATCAAAAATGCTTATGTTGGGTATTCTCCTGGATTTTAAGAGATTCTTCTGATTTAGTTTGTTAGTGTTACCAGATACATTCATTGTTGTCCCATGCATGTGAGACAGTGCTGAATAGCCTGCAGGAGTTTAGCGTTTTATTTGTGAGTATAATGTAACCTCACCTCTGCGAATGCTTTCGTGTTACCTGTGTTACTCTGTATTGCATCTGCCGATAATTCCCCTCTACCAAAACCATCGATGTAAATCAAAGTCAAGCTGTAAGTCTTATCATTTCTCCCTTGGCTTATGCTAAGCTTCAGACATTCACTTCCATTGTAAACTCCCTCTCCCCTCTTTCCTCCATCTCTCTCCCTCTATCCCCCCCACCCCTCTCCTTGCATGACCTTTGCTCTCAGGAACTTGCGAGATATATATTCCTATTTCAGATACTGTCAGGTAATAACCAGACTGCAGAATGTTCATACAGATACTATAACTCAACCTGTAAGAGTGTGTGTAGGCTTTTTGAAGGGCATGCAGAGTCTTTCATTAACAGTATCTATGCTTATTATTGTAAAATCTTTATCATTCGTTGTATTCATTATCATAATCGTTACCAGTCCTTTCGTTATCTTCCATGTCTCACACGCTTCTACGTATCGTAAAATAACGTTGGTCAGCCCAGCCTTGATTTCTAGCACATGGATCTTGTATGGTATATTATCTATGGCCGGTGTTGTTGTGGAACCTGCCGCTGGGGGAAGCTGATCCTCGTGACATTCTTAGTATAACTTTCAGGCGAGTCCCTCTGCCCTGCTACGGTAGTAGAAGAAACCCATTGATTCTTCCTCTCAACACATGTGGGAAAACTGCTGATACTTCCTCTCTGGTAAGGTAGAAAACCAGTTCTTTCTCTGCAGATCTATTACCATTGATTCTCCCGCTTCTACACAGGTGGAACGACTGACTCTTTCCCTCCCGCACAGGTGTGAGTACGACTGGGTGACGGTGAGCGAGGTTGGGACTTCGACACCCACCGAGAGGCTCTGCGGAGACTGGAGCACCAAATTGAAACTCCTGAGATATGTCAGTAGCGGCAACCGTGTGGTTCTTACCTTCGTCAGTGATTACGCTCACGACTTCCCGGGGTTCCGGGCGAGGGTGTCAGCGCGCACTGGTTAGTAATCTTTCACCTACTGCAAAATCGAACCTTAATTTTTAAAGAAGTGGGCCAGTAAGCCAGTGGAAGGCCTCGGTCAGTCGGCTAAAAGCTCCAGCGGTGGGTTATTAAGACTCGCGTCAGGAAGCAATTGTCCCGTTTCCTAACGAATCTTACCTAACCAGCGGTGAATCCTGGTTAGTGCATTCTGACTGGTGACTCCTAGTCGCATGTTCGTATACACACAATCATGTATATTTATATTATGTAAATATTCTATATTAATAAATGCCTTGTCAGTCACCAACTAATTTGATTTTGAAACTGTAAACTTCTGTTAGTCTAAAACGTAGTTTCATTATTCGTAAACATTGTACGGGAGCATTATTTTCCAATGGATTTATCACATCCATCTGTGAGAGATGTTTATGTTTAACATTGTGTGTGTGTAGGGGGGGGGCGTGCTCACCTATATATGGTTGCAGGGATCGAGTCACAGCACATGGCACCGCCTCTTAGCATGTCGCTACTAGGTCCACACTCTCCCGGCTCAAAGAGCCTTATCCGTACCTCTTCTTAAAGCTATGTATGGATCCCGCCTCTACTATGAGAGTATGAGGGAGATAATAATTGAAGTAGGGTTAGAAATAGGATAAAGGAAGGAAGGACTGAATTAGAAGAGGAACAAGTATTATAAAACTAGTTTTCAATCTCCTCATCTCTTACCCTTTCATTGTTTATCCTTCAGTCTTCTCCCCTTATTCTTCAATCTTCGATAATCATCCCATTCCTCGATCCTTTCTAGTCCTTATCCCTCTAATACCTCTCCTAGCACTCACCACTTCTTCCCCTCTCTCTTCACCCCTCTCCCTCAAACACTTCCTCTTTGCCCAACATACATAACCCATCTTCCCCTCTTCTTGACCCCTCAGTACATTCAACTCTCTCTCTCTCTCTAATAATAATAACAATGGTTATAAATGACCATAATTTTTAAAGGGGTGGACCGGTAAGCCAGCGGAAGGCCTCGGTCAGATGACCAAAAGCTCCAAAGGCGGGTCATCATCTGACTAAGACCCGCGTCAGGAAACATTTGTCCTGTTTCCTGACGAACTTACCTAACCTAACCTCTCTCTCTCTCTCTCTCTCTCTCTCTCTCTCTCTCTCTCTCTCTCTCTCTCTCTCTCTCTCTCTCTCTCATCAGTTCAAACCAGCGTATCATTAAAGTATAATTTCAATATTTTTATAATTGTATCGTTAAATCAAGCATTCCCCTGAATGGTGCAACAAGCTTTTGTATTAATTAACGAAGATTTGCAAGGTCGTTGATATCGGACAGGCAGACAGCTGTGTTTATAGCACCTGTCATCTATAGCGTAATACAGAATACACACACAATCAGAATACCTTGACTAATATGATTCACAGCCCACAGTACCGTGGCTGGAACATTTTACAATAACTTGCGATGCGTGAACATTAAAATGGTATAAAATGCCGACAGATTGTTAAGTAAGACACATGTGCAACAGTTAGGTATCTTTATTTCGAAACGTTTCGCCTACACAGTAGGCTTCTTCAGTCGAGTACAGAAAAGTTGATAGAAGCAGAAGAGACTTGAAGACGATGTAATCAGTCCATCACCCTTAAAGTTTTGAGGTGGTCAGTCCCTCAGTCTGGAGAAGAGCATTGTTCCAAAGTTTGAAACAATTGTTTCAAACTTTGGAACAATGCTCTTCTCCAGACTGAGGGACTGACCACCTCAAAACTTTAAGGGTGATGGACTGATTACATCGTCTTCAAGTCTCTTCTGCTTCTATCAACTTTTCTGTACTCGACTGAAGAAGCCTACTGTGTAGGCGAAACGTTTCGAAATAAAGATACCTAACTGTTGCACATGTGTCTTACTTAACAACTTGCGATGCCGTGCCCGGAACGATTGGCAACCAGCCTACAATACCGTGGCCGAACCAATTCAAAACTGACTCACAGTATCGTGGCTGCAACAACAACCGTTACAGTGACTGGAATGCTTCATAACTAAACCCCAAATCGGCGGTAGAGACTGGACGATGTTTTGCTCCGTCCTCGACAATTATTCGAGACTTCTTAATGGGCCAGGACCGACCGAAATGTAGTCTAGTTTCCATTTCTAACTTGTAGGCAAGTTGATATATCTAACATCTGCTGGCTAAAACTAGCAACTGATAGTTAATACTCAGCGCTTATTACCTATTTTCTAAGGCCTGGTACCTGATAACTCAAACCAAACACTACTTTTCGGTGCCTCAGAATTTCCTGCACAGTCACAAATAACATAACACAAGCCTCGTGAGAACTAACATTCCAACTTGCAATTTATCCTAATTTATCAGACGATCAATTTGACACTCTTAATGTTCCTCGTGGGGCGATGATGGATGGATGGCGTGGGGAGGTAAAAGGGGGGAGTAGCAGAAACAGGAAGAGGAGTAAAGGGGGAGGAAAGCACAGGAATGGAATGTGAGTGGGTATGACAAGAGAGGCGTAAATATGAATAATAGAAAACAGAGATAAAGAGATTGAGATATTATATAGATATATATAGATATATCTATATATAGATAATAGATATTAATATATATAGATTTTATATAATATATAAGATATATAGATAAATAGATATAGATATATAGATATAGATAATAGATATAGATATATTAGATAAAAGATTAAAATACATAACGTAAAAATTACATTTTTTCTGTATAGCGTAGTGTTCCAGGTACACAACTTTCTGAACCATTGCCTTCAAACTTTTGGATTAAATTTCCATGGGGTGGTGCCTGTTGACCTCCCAACATTTAATTCAGCAACACGTCATCAAAAATACTTAGTTCCAACAGTTGAACCGATTGGGCCCTGAAGTTAAATGTATTTTGGGGTGGACAGGAAAGGGCGAGTGTGTGTGCGTTCGCGCCTGCTTCTCTGAAAACACTGATCCTAAGTATACTTTACAACTAAGCCAGCAAAACATGGAGCAGCCATGGAAGACTTCATGACGAGATCTACAGCAGTTTGTATTCACCCGCCATCACTCGCCTGGACTCTGGGTACACTTTGGTCAAATTAAAAAAAACTTCTGGGTTTCCTGCAACTGCTGAAACTAGGAAAGTCAATAATTAATGCTGAACTTTTTTTTTTTTACTTATGCAGTCGGATATGTTGGTTGTTTTAATACTGTTTATCAGCGGTAAGGCGCTGAGAAGACCACGATGGTTTTCATGGAGGGAGAGCGAGGGAGGGTATGAGGTGAGAAAGGAAGGTTATGAGGTGAGGAAGTGAGGTTATGAGGGCAGGAAAGGAAGTAATATGTAAAGCAAAGGAGCTTATGATGGTTAAGGAAGGCAGAATAGGAGAAATTGTACATGGGGATGTGCAGGGCCCCCAGGCTAGGCCCTGCACGTGTAACAGAGGCCTACATAGTAGGAAGGAACGCCAGACTTGTCGAACAACTACATTATAGTTACGGATTGATTATACGTCTTTGTATAGCACCAAATGTTACGTCCTGACCATTGCTGTGTTTTTTTTATCTGACGTAAAGATTTTATTTTTTTTATATAGCTACAACAGCATCCAAGAACAGCTTAGTCTCTTCAAAAAGCCCACAGGGAGAAAGCCTGGCCTGACTCTGGCCTAACTTAGGAGTGAGTTAAGTTGTGTAAGACAAGTTCCTCCAGGGACTTATTTTTTGTAAGTCCAGCTGGTCGCTCGCTTTCCCCAAGTTGTAAGAGTGGGGACTCCACTCTCAAGCAAATTATGAGTGGGAACTCCACCTAAATACACACACACACACACACACACACACACACACACACACACACACACACACACACACACACACAAAAGAAATTAGAGAAAGTGCAAAGGCTTGCAACAAGGCTGGTTCCAGAGCTAAGGGAAATGTCCTACGAAGAGAGGTTAAAGGAAATCGGTCTGACGACACTGGGGACTAGAGGGTCAGGGGAGACATGATAACGACATACAAAATACTGCGTGGAATAGATAAGGTGGACAGTGACAGGATGTTCCAGAGATGAGACACAGAAACAAGGTCACAATTGGAAGCTGAAGACTCAGATGAGCCAAAAGGATGTTAGGAAATATTTCTTCAGCCACAAAATTGTTAGGAAGTGGAATAGTCTGGCAAGTAATGTAGTGGACGCAGGAACCATACATAGTTTTAAGACGAGGTATGATAAAGCTCATGGAGGAGGGAGAGGGAGGACCCAGCAGCGGTCAGTGAAGAGGCGGGACCAGGAGCTGAGTCTCGACCCCTGCAACCACAATTTGATGAGTACAATTAGGTGAGTATACACACACACACACACACACACACACACACACACACACACACACACACACACACACACACACACACATGCTTACTCCATAATCTTTCCCATTAATTTTGCAAACATTCGGCCGGTCCACTCACCCCTTCTTACTTTCTCTCTCTCTCTCTCCTCTCTCTCTCCTTCTCTCTCTCATCTCTCCTCTCTCCTCCTCTCTCTCTCATCTCTCTCTCCTCATCTCTCTCCTCCTCTCTCTCTCTCACCCCCCTCCCCCCTCCATCCCTCGTGAACGTAAAACTCAGGTAATTAGAAATTTTGATTTTGAAATGTGATACTAGGTTTCCAACTCTACCAATATTTTAAACTCATTTATTCGGATAATTTCGCCTGGCAGAAAGTAATTTGTTTCACTAGATATTCAGGGGGGAACCACCTGGCCATTAATTAGACTAGGTACCCAGTGAATCATTAGACCAGGTGCCTCCTAGTGTTCAGTTAGGTGCCGCCCAGTGTTCAGGTGCCACCCAGTGAGTCAGAGCAGGTGCCCTCCTGTGTTACATTAGAGATCAGGAGGAGCTACGAATGTTACACAGGATGCAAAAATACCACATTGGTAACAACTGTTTTAAGATAGAGCAACATCACTAATGCGTCTTGCTGCTGAAGATCCAGTAAACCCTC